TCACCGCCTACAAAACAAAGGAGAATAGTAGATCAATGAAGCAGCTGCAGTCTATAATAATTTTATTAAGGCTCGCGTTCTAAAAAAAAAAAAACTTACCTATTTCTGAAATTGAAGCTGGTGAGGGGTTTGGAGTACTAACGCTCAATCCTTGAGACAAAGGAACCTCCGATTTCAATTCAGCGACTTCTTCTGGAATCGCTCTGTTACTCGGAAGAGGGAGTTCAGGGTCTAAAGGTTCCGAAGAAGGGAGAACAGAATGCGAAGGGCTAGGAGCTCGTAACGGAGAACTAAATCTAACGGTTTTGAGTTTCTCATTTGATGAAGCATCTGAGTCTGGAACCTTCCTCTTTGTGCAGGAAGAAGAAATGACTTCTCCCTCTCTTTCTTGTGCGGAAGAGCAAATAGCGGTAGCGACTGGAGGGTCGTTAGGAATCTCAGCTCCATGAGAATCCTCGCCATTGACAAAGCTTCTTCTAAAGAACCGTCGTTGACCAGGAGGTTCTTCCTATGGAAGTTACCAACCTTGGAGATTGCAGCGATCCGTTTCTTCATCCCAATTTCGGATAATTGATCCTTAAGAGCTTTAGTCTCGGCAAGGATTTTTCTCTTATCACGAGCATTCAGGCTCGAGACATCTTTTTCTTCAGGAGGAGGATCAAGGGGGCGAGTTTGACCATTTTTAATAGCGAACCCCGCATCATGAATGCGTTGAAGGGTGAAGGAATTCCAATTTGTTTCACCCTCGGAAACGATTCGAAAGAAAGATAAAAAATCAACAGTTGGAGGGGGAATAGTTTGGTTCCCTGAAATAAAATGTTGAGTTAAGAGTTCTATTTCTTTCAAATAACACAATGATAAATAAGAAAGGTTGATTCTAACCAAGTTTAGACGACCATTTTGGGAGAAGAAGACCGGAAAGACCTTGAACGGAATGAGGAATAACTCGGAAAAGGACCAGTATTTCCTCCAAGGCCCATCATGCGAGGGCATTCCGTCAATCAGGTTACGGTCAAGAATAGGATTCATAGAAAAAATACCCGCCGCTTTGGACTCACGGGCTCGAAATAGCCTAAGAGTTCGCTAGTAATGAGAGAAAACCCTGCTTCTGCCAAAACGGTCAGGGTGCTCAGGACATACCGGAGAAAGTTGGGAGCCATTTGAGGAAAAGCGATCCCCAGATGGAGGAGGTACAAAAGAAGAACCTCCGGTATGGGAAAAAATAAACCGCAACCTTTGAAATAGATTTCGTAGGCACAACAGTAACCTTCTCGCACTATTTCCGGAGACTCATTGGGTTTAGGGAGAGAGAATTCTATTTCCTGAGGAATGTTGCAGAGGCGACAGAGAACGCCGAGGGAAGCAAGGGTCGATTGAGACCTAAAATGCGGACCAAATCTATCTCCCCTTTGGGTGCAAACTTCGCTCCCACTGGGAACGGGAATTCCCCGACTGTCATCTTCGTTGTCTGAGACGTAAACGGCTGGGGAAGACATTTTTACTAAAGGATTTTCTTTCCCTGGTTTGGTAAAAGCTTTCAAGGGTGAATATGTGCTGTAAAAGCCGTCGTTCCATTTAACCCTATTGAGCAAAAAACCGCCTCGAAAATATTGGGAAGTGGGACAGTTTTCCCTACAGTATTAATATAAAATTAAGAAATTAATGATGACGGTTGTTAGAGAAATCAAATCATTTGATTTTCCGAGATCGGCGTAACAGCATAAAACATGGAGAAATTCCAGAATGTCAAAGATCTCGATTCATTAATTACTATTTTCTTAAGTCTTCAAAGCCGAGCACTCAGCTCGCAAGACTTGGGGGGCTAAATGTTGGGGTCGGATCCCACACATTTTCGGTAGGATCCACTTGGATCTGTCCACGTCATTATTACATAATAATCCTCTCGGAATTCAAGATATTTTATTGAACTTGGCCGGTCGGGAGTTCGATTCAGTCCACTAGGAGAGTTCGATCTTTGCCAGTATGGAGTTCGCTCTTATTCGATATATAGTTCGCATAGAGAAAGGCCGAAGTGAGGAGAGTATTGTTCGAGGCTCGCAGTAGCGTCAAAACGCGGGAGTTCGGAGTCAGCAAGAAAGAGTTAAAAAAACCCATGTGAAGCCCAAGATAGTTCAAATTCAAGCCGTTTCGGTCAAATTGTAACTTACATGGTTAATGCGGATTAATATGATTATGAGCAGTAAATGACCGCATTAATCGTGTTTTTCTCTATAAAAACAACCTCAAACGCATGTGTTTGGGGGACAGACTTTTACACACTAAGATTAAGCAATACAACATACTTTCCCTCTTTACTATTTCGCAAGGCTTTACGTATTTCGTTCTTATCAAATTTCTTTACTTTTTCTTCTTGGTTAATTTCCCTTTCGAATTCCCATATTCATTTGTTGATTTTAAGAGTTTTTCTCCACTGAAATACTTAAAGATAATTGAGTGTGAATCCTACATCCACAGAGCTTGTAATTGCTCCAGGTTGTGTTAATTTTGTTGGCGTCCCGCTAGTCCCGGTTGTAATATCCATGTTGTCTTGTATGGTTACCCCTCCATACGTGTTGTGCTGCTCCCCGGCTTTACTTATGTTCATCTCGTTGTCCTTCCCCATGGTTGTCACACCGTCTGCGTCACCTGAAACATGTTTACTGTTAGTAGATATCCATTTTATCGACTAATGTTAATAACTACACATAATGTTGATTTTGAGCTGAAAATATATACTCAGGAATGTAGTGATCAGTTAATCACCTGAAATGTTACTCAGTAACATTCGTGTTAGCACGGTTCCCCACACAGCCCTCGTTTCTGCGCTATTCCAGTATTTATCCGATATTTCTTTCGAACTTAGGCCGCTTAGATCCATGTTACTCCGATAACTGTTAACGTTTCGCTCATTCCCACCTCGTATAATCTTGACCCGCAGATGGACTTAATCTAGATCCGCCCTTATTGCCATGAACAGAGTCATGTCTTCATCATCTAATATATCGATCGGGTTTGCGCGTCTCCAATCAGGACCCATCATCTACTGTGGCCACTGGTACGTTAACTCGATATCGTCTTCAGGACGCAGCATTAACTTTTCTTTTACTTCCATAACCACTTTGGCAAACCCATCTTGCTCTCGCAGTCGCACTCCTAGTGCAAAAACCCATCCATCTGCGAAACGTGTTCAAAAAAGCCGTTTTCATCTTTTTTCCATTCCCCAGGGACCAATCTCACCATGAACGCCATTTTTACCTGCTGGAGTTTTCAACAATAACAAAATTGTTAGCATTCTTGTTATTCTTAACTACGAAACCCTAAAAATTAAAAACAACCACTCTTCAAAACATAAACATTAAAGTACGTAATACCCAAAACTTTTACTTTTACCTTTATCCTTTGATTTCTCTGTGTGTTTATCCTCTTCTTGCATTAAAGTTGTCGGAAGCTAAGCTATTTAGTGTGATAGAACTGGGTTGTTGCAGCAAAGAGGATATAGTGCTAATAAATAGACCAACGCCTATAATCGATATACCCGCAACCCCATATATATCAGCTGTAATGATTTACCGTATCTTTGTGTTTCCAATGCCGGCGGGCGATATCTTCCAAGATATCCTTAGCATTTAATGCTGCCACTCCTACGCTATAAACTGGTTAATTGGTTTTCGGTTTTATAGGAGCTTTTTGGTCATTATTTCTGTCGGGGATGATGGAGATTTAATTTCGGGATCTTCATGCATAGATACTTAATATTTTGTTCGTCTGGGCATAGATATTAATATAGCCCTTTAACACTTATTAAATAAAAATCCGATGAATTTTAAACTTAAATGTGATATAAAAATTGATTTTAATAGATTGTGTTGTGTCAAACATTGGACCGGACCAAGGCATTCGAGGGCCTAAAGCAACTTACAAGTTTTCTTTAACTTTTTCGTACCTACTCATTTTAAATTTTATTTCTTTATATTAGTCATTAGAAAAAAAAATTCGTACCTACTCATTTTAAAATTTATTTTTTATGTTAGTCATTTCAAGATCTTTATTATTTTTAATGTATAAAATAATAGAAATATGTATAACTATCCATGAAACAGATCCGGATATCCGGAGTTTTTCAGGGTATTTAGATCCGCCGAATATATGTATTTGATATCCAGATCCGGAACCGTGGACACATGATATCCGAACTTCGGATACTTGCACAAAATTTTGTTATCCGACGGAAATCCGGATCCGGAATTAGATAAAAAAATTCTTAAATTTTAAACTATTTTGGCTATTGATAAGTAAAATCGAGTGGGTTTTGAATATTCAAGTACTAATTAGAAAAGTTATATTTTCTCTGACCTCTATTTTAATATAAATGATGTTATATGTTGTTTTTTTTTTCATGTTTCAGTTTAAGTACTGTTTTAATAAATTCTAGGTAAATTATAATATGCTTATTAGTTTATCCCTATATATTTATTTACTTTACTCATTATAAAAAATGTAATAAATGTATTTTGAAGGATAAAATAAACATTTTATTGATATATAAATAATGTGCAAAACTTTCAAAACATCAGAAATATTATATTATTTTATATTTTAAATTTTGATATTTATATGTTACAATAAATTTTATTTTTATAGAAAAATAAATATACCAAAATTTGTTAAAATTTTATATGGGGGCCTATAATAAAGTTATGGGGCCTAAAGCGGCTCGGCCTAAAGTCCATGCCTTATTTTAACACGTTAGGCACAGTACAAACGAGTCGCAAAAATTGGTGTAATATACAAATGTTGACCTTTTTAATGTCATTAACACTTCCTCGGATTCACACCATTTAATAGTCCACTAAACAAAAAAACATTCAGCTGACCGGTTATGAGAAGATATTTTAGAAGAATAAACCATGTAGGTATCTATAAAACGCACTTAAGCGTTGGGAGAATCAAACCATAACTGGAAATAGACTAGAAGTCAATGACAATATGGTATAAACTTAAATACATTGACGCAATTATTAGAATCGGAATAATATAGATTATAGAACATAGTTTCCTGTTTTGTACACACTGGACACACACATGCCGAGATCAAACTGAATCAGATGAGAATATTTTCAGAGAGAAGCGGAGGCTTGGTCACGCGTTGCTTTAAGGCGATTGGCATGATCAGCATTGCAATAGATAAAGCTCTCCTTACCAGATGATGTGGTAGTTGGCACAATGGCGAATCCCAAGTATTCTTCCTCACACTTCTTTTGGCAGATGTTGGCCATGAACTTGAACATCTCGTTTTTCTTGTTCCATGGTTGGTCTACATACTCTTGGATTGGCATCCACTGTGATACGATATACCAGTTCAGGTAAAATTAGAAATATGTGACAGTTACTTTACATTTTGTTGGCTCATCAACACTAAAAGTTAGAAAGGTTTACCTTAGCTTGCAAGATCTCAGATTTTTGTTCAGTAATATCGTAAGAGCGCGGACTTAAGACACACAGGAAAAACATATCTGTTTTCTTCTTCAAGATGGCTTTGAGGCTTTGCCTGAGAGTAAAGAGTTGATCAATGAGGAACAGATGCGTTTAAGGCAGATCAAATTACAGCAATAAAATTTAAGTTACCTGAAAGCCAATATTTCGACAAAATCTGCAATAATCTGAAGTGAAAAGCCAAGAAAAGAACACAAAATTTAGATTAGAATGTCAAGTAAGAGACCCTTATAATTGAAATGCTTAATTTCTGAAAGCCAGATACATACACCAGTTTCTTCTTCCACTTCCCTAGCTATTCCAGTCCATATATCCTCGCCCTGTGGAATTCGAATGTTTTAGTTAGAAGCAAAAAAAAAAAACAATTAAAACTTCATTTCCACCATTCTCTTAGTTTCAAACTTGATATCATCAATCATCTTTCCAGGGACCAATGGTTGACTCTAGATTACTGTACTACCTCAAAAACCAATACCCAGCTGAATTGCTGACTAGCTAAGTTGGGAAAAAAATGTTTATATCCTGAGAACTTATCTGAGTTATTGTAACCACTTTATAGTTCCGTAAGATGTAAGAACTACTTTCTTATGCAATTCACCAACAACTCTCAGCCCTACCAACTCCTAGAATATACTCCCCTAAACAATAGGCTGACACCCTTTAGAAGCCAAGCCCTCACTAGTAGTTCACTCGTTTTTACTCGCAGGGCAATTGGGTATAGAATCCTTGGAGCTTCTTTCACCAAGATTGCAAGAAACTCTTTTTAGTATTTAACTCTTCATGTCATTCACCAGGATTGTAAAGATGTAATGGGACAATATAGATTACAGAAAAAATCTAATGTAAATCACCTCGTTGATAACACCAGTAGGCAGCTTCCATACATTTTTATCTTTGAAAAACCCACTCCTCTCCTGGACAACGAGGACCTGCTCATCGAAGTGGTTCATCTCGATTCAGTCAAAGTAAATTTTCATAAACAAACACCATTGAATTATCATTGTTTGTTAAGCAATGTATGCGAAACTATGCTCTTCTCCAGTCCCTTTGAGACTCAAAGAAGGCACCGTCGGTTACCTCTTTAGTATTTTTGTTAATGACCAAAGCACCAGCACCTACAACATGAGAAGCATTGGCTGGGATCGTATCAGGGGTTTCAGAGATCCAAGATACAAGCATCAAGTACTCAGGCTCCGCGTGGTGATATCTAAATCCTTCCTGAAAAAACACCAAACACAACAGATTTCAACTCATAACAATAACATCTTACTAAAGTCAAACCAACTGAAATCCCAATCATCACATAAACAACTTACACTAACTGCAGCCTCCACCAGATTAGCCAATCCAAGAGGCAGCTTTATCCAAATTCCCTTCTTCCCCTGAAAATCATAAACTCTGACTAAGTCTTCATGTTATCACAATCCTCTTAAGAGCTCATATCTCAGAAGTGTTTCAGTTATCAGCACAATCAATTCCACACAAAACAACAACAATAAGGCTTGATTGAATCTGAAGTAAATCATAAACTCCGACTCATTATTTTCCAAATAAAAACTTGAGATTATCAACACAATCAAATTCCAAAGACAAAACTAGAGAAGAAACAATACAAAACTCGAATCTGAGTTATATTGTTAATACCTCTTCTCTCCAATGCGAAAGCGAAGCCCTAAGACTTTCAGTAAAAACCTCAGCATCCATAGGTTCCACCATAGTTACAGTAACACCATCGTAATTGTCAATCTCACCTTCAAGTAAAGGAATCTGCTGAGCTCTAGTATCCATCACAATCAATCTTCTTATCAAAAACAGCTACACGAGAGAAAAAAAAATGAAGTAGACTATTTTAAAAAAAGACCCATTTCGAGAAATCTTGAATCCAAGATTTCAGAAAACTCAAACAAGAGAGAATGAAGAAGAAAATGTACCTGTGTGTACCTTGGAGAGAATTGAATTGAAGTTATATTTCGATCTCAAGAAGACTTTATACAGAGAAGGTGAGAGAGAGACCTGTGCACGAAGAAGACTTATCTACGTTTTCCAGGAAAAGAAGAAAAACCTAATATTTTATTTAATAAGAGAACGACGATTGTTTCGCTGCTCTTTGTTTATTCGACGCCGTCGGCCTCGGAAGTCAGAACGGAGTGGAAGCATCGTCGAACCACTTCAGAAATTTCAGAAGAAACAGCAGCATTTTAAATTGATAAATGTAACTACGGATGTAATTTACTGATTTCTGATGGTAAAATTCCAAAAAAAAATCCAAAATAATTTTTATTTGGAAGTTTAATACCTAATTCTTTTTTATTTGTGTAAAAATACCCCATTTAATTAAAAATATCTCCTTTAATTAAAAATACCTCATTTAATTAAATGTACCCTCATTAGTTTCCCCAAATCGATATATGAATTTAAGACTCTCAATCAGAAGAGAGAAATATGAGCAAGAGAAAACAAAGCTTGAAAGTGAAGGTACTGTAGTCTTTTACTAAGCCCAATTAACCACGTTTTGTTAACTAGTAACCCCGGTTTAGAGATTCCGTTAGCCGATTAAACGTCTGTTAAGTCGTATGTCTTAATCGACTATCAATTATAAGAATACGATTTAATTGACAACAATTAATTAAATGGGGTATTTTTACACCAATGAAAAAGAATTGGGCATTAAACTTCCAAATAAAAATTACTTTGGGTTTTTTTTGGGAATTTTCCCGAATTCTGATATATCGGAATTCCGCAAAATATATTCTAATTTTTATTATTTTATGAAGGATAAATTATAGATAGAGGATGTTTTTAGGTCATTCGTCCATTTATACTTTTATTATTAAATTTTTATCTATGTTAAATCTATATTATTTTTTTTGTCAAGCACACACTAATTAGAAAATAAGTCTATGATTAGTTGTCTAACGAGAAATGGAAGAGAGCGAGAATTCAGGAAATGAGGCTCGGAGGAATCCAAACTCATCTAGCAGATTGGAAAAACAGACTACTTTTCAGGGACTGTACCATCGAGACTAACTCTGAATAATCTTTTTCAAACACCTGATAATCAGTCCTTCTTGAAAGGATATTCTTCATAGCCCAAATTAAAACTTCCAACTCCGAGTGAACAGGGGGAGAGACACCTCTTAAGGCATCTTCCATCAAGCAGTATTTTATGATCATTTCCTTGAAAACACCACCATTCGAGACCCATAGTTGGATCTGAAATTTCTATGAGCCATCAATCCGACATCTTATAGATTGAATTGGAATTGCCTCATTTTTCCTAATAGTACTAGATTCAATTGGATCCAATTGAGTTTCTTTCCACATTAATTTTTCACTCAAAGCGTTAATTTATTTTTTAATTTTAATTTTAATTTTATTTTATTTTATGCACTTTACATGTTCTTCGAATTATAAAATTGTGATATGTTCAAATATTTTTGGAGTTACATATTTTTATACTCACTCTGTCCCATATTGTTTGTAGTTTTAACTAAAAGCACGCTTATTAAAGAAACTTAATTTTGGTTAAAAATCATTAATTAGATAATTAAGAAAACTTGTTTTTACTTAAAAACAACAAAAAAGAAGAAGATAAATAGTCACTAAAAACTCACGGTCAACTTTTCTTCACTCCAAGTAAAGTACTATTGTAATGAACAAATTATTAGAAAAGTTAAAATTTGGAGCCAAAATCTTTCATAAACAGTTTAAATCTAAAAAATTCAAATTTTGCAATAGAGCCAAAACAAAACGAAAACTTAATTTTTTTTCTCTATATAATCTATTCAATTGAACAATGGTTTATTCAGCAATTCATGGATTCTAATATTGATTTGAATTTTCACCTCCAAATTATGAGAATGAATATTTGTTCGATTTGAACGAAATACCAACGCAAGAAGAAACTTGTGGAAATGGCGGCAATGAAGATTTTTCTAGTGATATCAATTATTGTCCTATTGATCATGATCCAGGTCAGATCTCTTTTTCCATATTTTAAATAAACTAATCGATTATTTTTTTGTCTTAGTTTTGTAAATGATGTTCGTCATTTTTTACTAGTGATATAGTGCTGTTCATCTTCCAGTAAACTTTGTTAATTGCTTTTTTCTAAAAAAAATTGACGATAACAGATTTATGTTACGTTAGAAAGATACATACCACAGATGAGTTAGAATCCATATTTTTGTTTTTTCTGGATTTTTTTTACTTTAACAATGAAGTGATGTTCATCTTCCATATAGTTTGGTTAATTGGTTAATAGCTCGTGTCGTTAACTGATTTACATTGTAGTATTAGTGAGCTACTTACTACTGTTGTGAGTTACAATTCATGTATTCTGTTTTTACCTGGATTTTTTTTTAAACAGGAATTGTTGTTCATCTGCCAAAAAGCTTTCCTAATGATCGAAAAAGACTTCCGTTGACTGATTTATTTAACGATAGTGAGATATTAGTACTAAAATGAGTTAGAATTCATATCTTTTATTTTATTTTGGATCTTTTTTTCCCTAGCATGAAGTGCTGTTCATCTTCCAAATAGTTTTGTTTTTTTCTGCATCTTTGCTAATGATTTTAGACTTACGTCAAATTTTATGGTTTACGTTAATTGTTTGATGTAACTTTAGTGATTTACTAGTACTAAAATTAGTTAGAATCCATGTCTTCGTTTTTTAATTAAAAATTGGGTGCTTCTATCAATAGTTTAATAGTCTGTTCATAATTATGCTTCTAAACGTATATATATGTTGTGTTTCTTTCATCCTTATAGCAGAAAATGAAGACCCATCTCAAGATGATATCGTACAAGGAACTAGAAGAATTCTATCTACCAAAGAGAGATGGGAGATTTTCAGTGCTTTACTAGAAATGAGTGTTGATGGAAAATTGAAAAAAAAATACTACAAGAGAAGTTTCAGATCTATTTTCAGTACCAATCTGGACAGTACAAAGGATTTGGCGACGAGCAATTGAAACCACTGACAATGGAAAAGTCGATGTGTCACAAAGGAGAACTGGGAATTGTGGTCGTAAAAGGATTTTACTTGATATGGATCAAGTTGCTAGTGTACCACTACACAAAATGACAACTTTGCGGACGTTATCTATGGCCTTGGGCATGAGTCTTGGAACATTACATAGGCGTAAGAAGGAAGGAGCTATTCGACGTCATTCAAATCCCATCAAACCACTTCTAAAGGAAGACAACTTAAGAGGTAGACTACAATTTTGCATTTCTATGCTGGATAAAAATAGTTTACCTCATGAACCAAAATTTATTGATATGTACAATATTGTACATATTGATGAAAAATGGTTTTACATGACAAAGAAGACGGAGAGATATTATCTACTTCCGATTGAAGATGATCCACACCGTACATGCCAGAGTAAGAATTTCATTGGAAAAGTAATGTTTCTACCTGCGATGGCTCGTCCGAGATCTGATGATGAAGGAAACGAAGTATTTCTGGAAAAATTGGAATATTTCCATTTGTTATTATGGAGCCAGCTAAGAGACAAAGTAAGAATAGGGAGGTTGGAACTTTAGAACTAAAGGCATCAACTTCTGTTAAGAGAGAGGATATAAAAGCATGCTTGATCGAAAAAGTTATTCGGGCAATTCATTAAAAGTGGCCAAGAGAAGATCAAGGAAAGACTATCTTTATTCAGCAAGATAATGCAAGGACACATGTGGGATGTTGGGATAAAGATTTTCAAGAAGCAGCTACAAAGAATGGTTTTGATATACAGTTGATGTGTCAACCACCAAACTCACCAGATCTAAATATTTTAGATCTTGGATTTTTTAGTGTCATTCAATCACTACGGCATAAGGCATGTCCCAAAACAATAGAAGATCTTGTTGCTGCTGTAGAAGAGTCATTTGAAATCTACCCCACAAAAAAGGTAAACTATATTTTTTTGACTCTTCAATCGTGTATGGTGGAAATCATGAAAGTTGGAGGATCAAACAAGTACAAGATACCACATTTGAAGAAATCTACGCTGGAAAGTATTGGTTTTCTTCCTAAGCAACTGAGTTGTGAAGCTACGTTGGTTGAAGATGTGTTGAACACACTCAAATAATTCGATCAGCTGTTATTTTTTCTGTTTTGTTTTTTAGTGTCATTTGTGTGGTTTCTTTCTTTTATTTGGGATTTTACAGTTTTGAATTGATCTTTCTTTTTCGTTAGAATTTTTTTTTCTTCTTAAATTTACTTTGAATTTTCATATCAATCCCATCAACTCACGTTTGCTGTCTTCTTACTCATCCCACTATCACACGAACACAATTTTACCAACTGCTTATAATAATAAATCACCAATGAAAGTAACATATCAACCTAAAGCAAAGTAAACCCAGAAAACAGAGAATGAGAATGAACAACTACAAAACATAGTTACTTTGTCAATACTATCACCATGAAATTTTAAAGATGACTCAAACTCTAAAATATCCAGGTAGCAAAAGCTTCAACATTTCCACGAGAGCTTCGTCCATCTCTTCCTTGGGAGGAAGTTCGTTAAGATCGAAATTTCGAGTGGTGCTAGGATTCGTCTTGTTGGTTGATGAAACATTTGCTGATTTACTTACTTGTTGTTCCATTGCTTCGTTGGGATGAATCTCTTCCTCTTCTTCAAAATACGGTTTGTTTAAATCAAATTTGTGAGTAGACGAAGGACTTATCTCGTTCAGTAGAACATCTTTTGATTTTTTTTTTCTTGCTCCGATGCTTTGCCCAGATGAATCTCCTCATCTTCTTCGTAATACGGTTCATTAAGATCAAATTTGAAAGCAGCAGAAGGATTTGTCTTGTTCAGTGGTTGACCATCTTTTGATTTGTTTTTTTTCTTCCATTTTTATTTGTACAGGAATGTTTGTGGCAGTGGAGTATAAATTATTTACTGAGTAAAGATAAATAATTAAACAATGCTTTGACTACGTATGCTTTTGTCGATTGTTATACTTGGACCTTTGGACTTCTTTGACCAAAATTTATTAATTATTTTTGGATTTAAATTAATTACTGAGGAAATATAAATTGTTGGAATAAGTAAAATTTTGCATAGATATGTGAGAAAAACAAACAAATTGGAACAAAAAAAAAATCCTAAAACTACAAACAAAATGGAACAGAGGGAGTATGTTTTATTAAATTTAGAATACGTATTCTACACTTTACTCTATGTTCTACTAAATTTTATATATAGATTATATTTTTTACTCTATGTTCTACAATAGTGAAAATATATTTTCTAATGTCATCTGAATGTTAGAATATGTATTCTTCTTTTTTCTCTATGTTTTACGAAGTTAAGAATATATATTTCTCTTAAATAGTCGTATAGGCTGTTCAAGGTCATTCATAAATTTGAATATATGTATATCGTTTGTATATGTGAATACATTTAGAATCTTTGTTAGTTTTGTATCAAAAAATAGATAATTTGTATTATTTCTTATCAAAAAAATTTGTTTTTTCTTCTAAATTTTTAATGTTCAAGTCTTTTTTATTTCGTCGAACACCATTTTGATTAAGTAATTGGAAAGAGACTCTCTTCTAGAGAGAGCCAATAAGAAACGACTTATTTACAGGGGAGAAAATACTACTACGGGCTCGGGCTTTTTTGGCCAAACAATCAGCCGGTTCATTAAAACAACACGGAAGAAAACTAATCTTGAACGAAGGAAAAAAAAAAGAGGGATCTAAAAGTAGCCATCTCTGCTACAAAAGTTGGCCACTCCGACAACAACGCAGTGTGTTTCACCAATCGAGATCATACAATCCATCGCTCAAAGCAAAGAATCCACTTCCGCGTGGAGCGGAGATAAGCTTCTTCGAACAGTTTTGAGGCCTAGATGAATTATCTTATCATTATCTATTAGGACCCAACCATGTCCACTCAAGGTATCATCCAAATGCCAGGAGGCATCAACTTGACAATCAACTAGCAGAGGGGGAGGACGAAAGACAATTACTTGCGAGGGGAGGGGTTCCTTAGGTTCATGGTCCTTTAAATTTGCTTGTTTCCACACATTCGCTTCTTTGATTGCGATATCAAGAGTCTCTTGAGAAGGTTCTCTGACATTTTCAAATAAGAATCGATTGCGACTTTTCCAAATATACCAAAGTATCCATGGAAAGATTTCTAGCGCATCCTATCCAATACCAATTCTCGGCCTCGCCAAAATATAAAGTCGAAATTGTAAAAGAAGAAATTTCTAGGGAACAAACTCCCCGAGGATGGAATTGGGGATAGAGCCCAGATTTTTCTTGAAGGCGGGTATTCAAAAAGGAGGTGATTGATAGATTCTTCCTCCGCTCCACACCGAGGGCATCCTTTTTCAGTACCTATATGATGATAGAAAAGCCTTTGGAAAGTAGCTAAACATCCTGATAAACATTGCCACGCGAAATGCTTGAGTTCTCGCGTAGTCTTAAGCTTGCATACTTGTGTCTGAAGATCCGAAACACCTGGTCTTTGAAAAGGGGGTCAATAGTAGGATGAGAGAGATCTCTCGCGGTCTAATACCCTGACTTAATAGTGTAGTTACCGCATTTGGTGTGAGACCAACTAAAACCATCACTCTAATAAGTATGACTCGGCCGAGTTCCCAAAATTAAGGGAATATCGGAAGGATCAATCAAAGCATGAAGGCGGTCCATCTTCCACATCTTTGTAGTTGGGTCGATGAGATCATTAACATAGAGGTGGGGGTCCCTTATGTTAAGGATACTCTTAGAAAGTCTTGCGGGGATTGTAGGGATCCAAGGGTCCTCCCACACACGGATTAGCATGCCGGATCCTATAGTTCATCGGAGATCCGAGACAAGTAATGGTTTAGCAGCCATAACTTCTCCGTCCAAAAGAGGGGCAGTTAGATTTTCCTATATGAATAGGGTCACTAAAACGAAAGTATCTCCCTCTCAAAACTCTACTCAAGAGTGAGTTTGGAAATCGAATGAGGCGCTATAGCTTTTTTGCTAGTAAAGCAAGATTAAATTCTTCAAAAGTTCTGAAACCAAGACCACTGTCGGAGAGTTGTGTACATAGCTTGTTCCATGCTATCCAGTGAATACCATTTCTTTTTCTCCTTGTTTTATTTCCTTCGGAAATTTGCAATAGCATTGCTTAACTTCGAGCGAATAGCTTTGGGAAGAAGAAAACACGACATAATATATGTCGGAAAGGCATGCGCCACTAATTTAATAAGTACCTCTTTGCCACTTTTTGACAAGAATTTAGCAGTCCACGTGTTTATCCGTTTTTGAAGTCTAACTTTTACAAAGGAGAAAACTTGGGTTTTTGAGCCGTGTATTTGTTCTGGTAGCCCTAAGTAAGATCCCATACCCCCATCTCTAAAAATTCCTATAGTTGCGTTAATAGTATTTCGGGTAGTAGTGTTTACTTCGTGTCTAAACATTACCAAAGATTTAGCAGCATTCGATTTTTGTCACGATGCCTCACCATAATGGCGGAGAATGTTAATAGTCCCTTGTCCTTGGAGTGGGTCCGCTTTGCAGAAGAAAAAGCTATCATCCGCGAATAGGAGATGCGAAGTTGATGGGCTTGCCCATGAAATCTGCAGTCCCTGAATTCTCCCATGCCATTATGCATCTTTCAGTTTCTCCACAAGCGCCTCCGTAGATAAAATAAAGAGGAAATGAGAGATAGGATCGCCTTGTCGAATTTCTCTCGAAAGTTTTATGAACCCTCTTGGTGTCCCATTTAGGAGAACTTTGTGTATGATGCTAAAGAAATACAAAAGAAAATCAAATCTACCAATTTCTGAGTGAAATCCATTTTCACCAATAGTGCTCGTAGAAAAGACCATTCAACCCGGTCATAAGTACTCATATCAGTTTTTATGGCCATAAATTTTCTTCTACAAGCCGGGTTTGTTTGAAGAGCATGAAAATTTTCTTGAGCGATAAAATGCTTATAAAAGCGATGTGGACTGCTTTGAATAGAGGCAAGAAGGGGCCTATGATCTGATCCCCATAGTTTTAAATACTCCACATTCGTGTGGGAAAACATGTTATGCCATTCTTCATTACTCATTGCTCTATCTAATCGATCTTTGATTAAGACACAGCTCCTAAAGCCTTTGACACTACAGCTCTGTCTTCCCATCCAAGAGAAAAAGTTACCTTGGAATGGAAAATCGATCATTCCGTAATTCTAATTAAATCATATAACAAAAAGAAAGGAAAGAGGATTCGGATCTCTGTTTACCTCCCCTCTTCTCATGGTTTTCAGTGATTTCATTAAAATCACCAATCATAAACCATGGGTCAGAGCGAACAACGCCAATACGAGTCAATCGTTCCCAAACTATTTCTCGGTACTGAACTACCAGATCTCCATAAACAAAGGTAATAAAAACACAGTTTCCATCAATAATAGTTTCAATATCCAATAACATGTCGCTAACAAACAAAAACTTAACCGGATAATCTTTCGAATACATAAGAGCAAGACCACCACTGTTGTTACCAATCGGTTCAACAGTCTGAAGAAAATCAAAACCTAAAGACACTTGCATATTCTGAAGATCAATGTGATCATTTTTGGTTTCGGATAAAAAAAGAAAACTTGGAGAATACATTCGACACATCTCATCTAGTCGACGAGAAGTAAGCTCCGTTGTCGTCCCTTGACAACTCCATGCAAGGATTCTCATGTGTTAGTATCGGCGGGAGACGGGGGCTCCACCAAACCAACATTCGACGTTACAGACATGGACTTTGACGAGGAAAAGACTTCATTTTTGGAGCTGAAGCAGCTTTCCTTGAAGTTCTCGGCTTTTAGGAGTCGCGTTTGCTGGAAATCCTCTTATTGGGAGACAAGCCCTTTATGTTCTGGATTTTTCGGAAGTAGAATCAAAAGGGCTTGGTTACTTTGGCCTCTACGTGTCTAGGCTCTTTATTTCTTCTTTGTTTCTTTGTTTTTGGGCTTGGGATGGGAAAGACCCAATTTTGGAGCTGTGTCTTACCACCTGCCGCATGAGTTGTTGATGAAACGATCGAGCTCTTGAGCTTCCTAGCCGGAGTCTGCAACTTCTTTGGCCCGAAAGGGTCCTTACCTCGAGCTTTCGATTGAGCCAGGAGATCATCTTGGAGTTCACCCCAGAAGATCGTCGCCCAACTCCTGAGATCCCGATGATCCAACCATACTCTTGCGCTTCTCAGGCGGAGACTGTTTCTGAACCAGATCTGGGGAGACTTGAGGTAGTGGATTCTGTCGATTCTGAAGGGAATCTTGGAGTTCCTTGCCCAAGAGGTCATCTTCTTCCAAATCGTCCGTCTCAGTGGCGATAGGAGGTTCCATGGCATGATACGCGGCTTCATCTTCCGCCATCTAATCTAGGTTGAGAGCTTCTGACATCGAATGATGGTTCCCTTCCCACCCTTCCTTCGGAATAGCCTGTGTTGGAATCAAGGAACGAGATGGAGGGGCAACAGATGGACTAGAGAAAGGTAGACGACTTCTTAGAGAGATTTTAACAAAAGGGTTGTTCCTTGACATATGTCGGGAAGAAGTTTCTAATTTTGCCCTCAAGGGAGCTATAAGAGTATCCAAAAGCTTCCATTGCGAATCAGAGAGATGAGGTAAAGGTTGCTTCCCACAAAAAGATTTACTGGGAAGGTGAGTGGGGGCAGGGTCGTTAGGGGGAGGACCCTTGCGGCCTTTGCTAGAAGGTTCATAGCTTTTCTCCTGGGAGAAAGAATCCTCATGACGTCGCTTTCTTCCAGCATCCGTCCCATTACCTTTTGGATCATAACGGGAGGAGGGACGCCTGAGAGAAGCTACCGCAAACGATTGGTGGTGCTTTGAAACTCGAGCAGAAGGGTACCGATTAGAGGTTAGAGGGTATTGCCGGTGGTGGATGCGATTGTTAGAGGTAAATCTTTCCTTTTTCCTTCTTGTGTCTCCAACCGGGGGTTAAGCCTTTTAGAAAGAGGACCTGCAGACAGAGGTAAGTTCTTTCTCCCATGACCATTGCGGGTTGCAACTGAAAAATCATGGGGAAGAGAAAGGTACTGATTACGGCCGTCACCTTTAGTGAGATACCGAGGGTTCTTCTGTTTTTCCTCAGCAGCCAGCGCCGCTCTCTGATTTACATTGATTAATGGACACAAATCAAATTCATGATAAATACGTCCGGAGTAAGAACACCATCGGAGAAGCTTTTCATAGAACAATTTCACTTTTACAACTGCTCTTGTAGGGAGTTGGGCATTCTTGTTGAATTTTAAAGGAACATCTGTCTTAACAGAGATCTCGATTCGTCCTTTGGTAGGGTCGACTCTCCGGACCACACCACGAGAACTACCTAAGTTTCTCAGAGCCTCCTCTTCCCAAAACTTTGTAGGATTTCCTTCGGTTTTAACCCAAAAACTCATAGTATCAGGAAAAGAGATTCATGTGTGAGGTTCCCATCTTTCAAGAGCGAAAAACCACTTGTTAAAATGACAAGGACGCTTGTTAAGGACCTTCTGGAGATCAGCTTCAGATTCAAAAAAGAACTGGAACCGTGAGTCACCAAGAGAGACTCCCCACACCCGTCCTTCGACATCCCATATGTGCTCTTTAGAGAGAAAGGAGACCAGGGCTTCCATATTGCGTCTACCTTGGTGAAGCATTTGCCCCACAAGGCTAAGCTGAAGACGAGCTAGGAGAGCCGAATTGTCCACTTGTGGGAGAATAGCAACATCGTCTTCTTCCTCGGGTTCAAAGACAAACGGAATTTGTTTTGGAGGAGATTCTCTGTACCAACTTGGTATTTCTCTCTTTGACATGGTGAGAAAAGATAAGGGAATCGACAAAATAACGGGTCTTAGCTTGAAGTTAGAAATAGAACTAAAAGAGTCTCTGCTTATGCAGGAAGGTCTTCTAGGGAGATAGATATAGGCCGTTCTTTATTTTCAAAAGAGAAAAGCTTGAGGAGGGAGCGAAGAGAAAAGAAGAGAGGAAGCAAAGGCTTGGAAGAGAGACAGAAAGGGACAACTAGCCGAAGAGAAGGTCATCGAAGAGGCTTAGGAGAAGAGCTCTCAAAGAAAGATAGAGGAAAAACTTCCCAAAATAGCTAAAAAAATGTGGGTAAGATCTACTAATTTTGAAAACATTTTCTCTTTTCAGGTATCTCAAGAGTCGTGTGTGAAAGAGAAAAAAAGAATTGTGTTTCAAGTAAACATCAAATTGTCTTAATTCATATTTTCAAAAAAAGTTGTAACAACTAAAATAAAACTTATTAATTTATAGTTAAAATTAATAAATATTATTTTATAGATAAAATAATAAAAATTATAATCCCATCATTATTAATTTATTTACTATTTTGATATTTTAAACATAATGATGGATGTTGGTTTGGTAATTTTTATGTTATTGGAATGTTATATACAGAATCTCTCAACAACCTAATAATTTATAATAAACAATATAACGTACGAATATTTTTAGTTTTTTTATACTTATACTAGATCATCACCCGTACTTTTAGTACGGGTTAAATTTTTATAATATATATATTAGAACTAAGTTTTAATATATTATAATAGTAAGTAAAAAATATTAATTTTTTTTGTCAGTAACTATATATAATATTAGAATAAATATAGATTTTTTTCTATAATACTCAATTGTAGATAATTTTTTTTTTAAAGATATGAAAACAGAAAATAATTTTATTTTTTAAAAAGTAATATTTTTTGAACAATGAGTTAATTTATGTTAACAACCACAAAATAGGATTGCATATATTTCTGTTCGATCAAAAATTAAAATATCATAAATGAATCGCATATAAAAGATAGATTATTTTGAATTAATTAAGAAAATTCGCTATTATTTTGAATTAATTTAGAAAATTCTTTTTCAATTTATAATTCTTTGGTTGTTGAAATAGAGATTTGTTTGAGAGAAATTGTTAAAAATGCCCCTTTTTCAATACCCCTTTTCAAAAATGCCCCCTTTGAGAGTCCATTTTTAAGTTTGCCCTCTTTTAATTTTTAATGACCATTTTACCCTTATTTGAAACAAAATTAGGTCCACAAAATACAAAATATTTTTTGGCGGGAAAAGTGATCCCGCAATTTTCCCGCCAAAACACTTGTAAAAAACCTTTAAAATACCTTGTAAAATTTTCCCGTAAAATTTTTCCCGCCAAAAAATTTTCCCGCCAAAAAAATTTTTTTGCGGGAAAAGTGATTCCGCAATTTTTTTTTTTGGCGGGAAAATTTTTGGCGGGAAAAATTTACAAGGTATTTTAAAGGTTTTTTACAAGTGTTTTGTAAGGTTTTACAATGTATTTTAAAAGGTTTTACAAGGTACTTATTAGGTTTTATAAGGTATTTATAACTTGTAAAACCTTATAAAAAACTTGTAAAACCTTATAACTTGTAAAAACCTTATAAAATAGCTTGTAAAATCTTATAATATCTTGTAAATACGTTGTAAAACCTTTTAAAATACATTGTAAAACCTTATAAATACCTTGTAAAACACCTTTAAAATACCTTGTAAATTTTTGGCGGGAAAAATTTTCCCGCCAAAAATTTAACGCCAAAAAAATTGCGGAATCACTTTTCCCGCAAAAAAAATTTTTTGGCGGGAAAATTTTTTGGCGGGAAAAATTTTACGGGAAAATTTTACAAGGTATTTTAAAGGTTTTTTACAAGGTTTTACAAGTGTTTTGGCGGGAAAAATTGCGGGATCAATTTTCCCGCCAAAAAATATTTTGTATTTTGTAGACCTAATTTTGTTATATTTCCTTATATATTTGTGATATATTTTATTAAAGGAAGGGTAATTTAGTCATTTTGTACATAAAAAGGGGTATTTTTAAAAATGGACAGCCAAAGGGGGCATTTTTGAAAAGGGGTATTGAAAAAGGGGCATTTTTGTGAGTCTCCCTTTGTTTGAGCTAATCTAATTACAGAATTTGTTTGAGATTTATAATTACGGAATTTACCAATTATTCGCATAATCGAATATGTTATAAACATATATTTAGTATATAATAATACCAAAATCAATCCGTGCGTGGATTTTATATTTTTATTTTAGAATTTCAAAATTTCATTTTAAAATATTTGCGTGCACAATCTATTATTCGTTAATTCTAAAATTGCTTGCGGAATCAAATTTTCAAATATTTAGAGGTGTCAAACCATATTTAAATGTTCTACACTATTTTTAAATATTCCAAATTAAAATCTTTTAAAAAAAATTTTGTAGTTTATAAAATTATGAATTTCAAAAAACAAATTATCTGAAATTAAATATAACTATTCAAATAGTTATAAGGATCAAAACTCATTTCATTATATAATATATTATATTTAACCCGCTATCTATGATAAATATTTTTAAAAATAATCAAATTAGGCATTTATAATTTTTAACTTTTTGAACTATTAAGTATTGATGAAATTCTCTAAAAATATCAAGTAAAACTTATTTTAAATGTTGCAAATTAAAATATTTAAATTTTTATTGTAGTATATAAAATTATACATTTCAAAAAATAAATGTATGAAATCGAATATAAATATTCAAATTCTGACCCGTTGCTCAGTCAGAATTTTTGTTGAATTTATTTTTATGTAAAAGAAATATATTACTCAAGTCTGAATTTTTGACCCGTTTAATTGTTTCCTTTATAGATTGAACAATTTATATGCGTTTTTAAAAATTCAAATTTTGGCATATGCAGAAAAAAATTACTTTTTTTTTATTATGTAGATGATATGATGATTTATTTGTTTCATATAAATATAATCATATAAAGATGGGAGGTGAAGATTAATGATTAATAACAAATTAATATGGTAAATTAGATATCAAATCTTATATGTTCATTTTGATTGGTCATTTAAAAAAAAAAAAATAACAGATTTTCGTTTTATAATTTAATTAAATTAATTAAATAACATAAATTAGTATTTTACTTGTTTATCCTTAATAAATTGAATTAAATTTGTTCTAAAATAAGCTTTTTGTAATGGCATTCTCATGTAATTTTTTACAAAAAAGAAGGTTAGTTAAGGGTTTCTTATAAAGTGTACTCCCCAAATAATAGTATAGGATTTGTTTCGGTAAACTCTTTTTGTTTTACTTATATTGAACTTAGTAAATTTAGCCAAATTATTAATGTTTTATCAAATGATCGAGACAACATTTTATCCCGCGCATGATACAGGTCGACACCCCTAGTTGAACTTTAAAAAAGTTTATAAAATTTTGGGTTTCTTTATAATTACGAAAATCACATTTTAAAGATAGATTTTCTAACTAGTTATTCCTTTTTTTTTACATGCATAAAATTAAAAAAAAAAAAATAAAATATTGCAATGTCCCGGTTGGTAAATTGTGAACTAACCTCGAGAAATTTGGCCTCTTCCAACTAATACCATAATTTTATTGTATTAATCAAGTAAATGATTCGATAAGTCGTTTCGTCTTTGACTAGAGAAATACAAGAGAGAGCGAGCAAGCGAGAGAGATAATGGTGGTGGAAGAGAATCAGAATCAGATGATGGATTCCATCGCCGGCGACTCAGCGATAACTGCAAATGTATCGGAAGACGAAGCAGAGGAGGAAACCACCACCAACACATGGAAAAACACAAAGGAATTACTGATACTACATCTCTCCAAGAAGCTTCTCCATGGAGATCTCGATTTCCGTATTGAAGCCGCCAAGGAAATCCGGAAGCTGCTTAGAAAGTCTCCGGTTAAGTCTTCGGCTAGGTCTAAGCTCGCCGACGCCGGAGTTATCCCGCCGCTTGTTCCCATGCTCATTTCCTCTAACGTTGATGCTCGTCACGCCTCTCTCCTCGCTCTCCTTAACCTCGCCGTTAGAAATGAACGGTAATCTCTCTTGGATTGTTCTAGGTTTTATTGCCAAGTATCAGAAACTGATCCTCTCGTCTTGAGTTCTAGGTCTAATTTAGCTGCGTAGTATCAGATTCAATGCTCGATCTGAGGCCTTATGCAGTAATTAAGATGTTAGTTTTTGCTTAAGAAACTTAACCAAGCTCTGCTTAGAGCTTGCTTTAGGACATTGTTCTGGATTTGCAGTTTTAGTGTTAAGGCAATGGTTCTTCTTGTTTAACTCTATGAATCAGGCATCAAAATGCACCGAGTAGCTACATTTTAGACTTTTAGATCTGTTGAAACCAAGAGGATATCGGGTTAAATCCAAATCACATCGGAATTCCCACTTCAACACCGACTTTGCAATACTGATGTACTTACTCTAGGTCTAGCTTCACCTGTAGTTTACTGCTATTTGGATACCGATAGCAAATGTAGGATGTAATTTACCTACGTGCTCTAGCCGTAATTGCTACTGACCCTTGTAGTTTGTCTGGAAATAGATTTGCGTTTTCAGCTCTTATGGTGGTCATTGCCATTACATTACTTATTGTGTGTTTTGATTTCTGATCAGGAATAAGATTGAGATTGTGAAAGCCGGTGCCGTTCCACCTCTCATACAGATTCTGAAGCTCCACAATGCTAGTTTGCGTGAATTGGCCACTGCAGCAATTCTAACACTCTCAGCTGCACCAGCTAATAAGGCGACGATCATAACTTCTGGAGTTCCACCGCTTCTTGTTCAGATGCTTAGCTCTGGAACTGTACAAGGGAAAGTAGATGCTGTCACAGCTCTTCACAATCTATCAGCTTGCAAAGAGTACTCCGCTTCAATTTTAGATGCTAAAGCCGTCTCCCCGCTTATCCACCTCCTAAAAGAATGCAAAAAACATTCCAAGTTTGCTGAAAAAGCCACAGCCTTGGTTGAGATGATCCTTTCACACTCTGAGGATGGGCGAAACGCCATCACCAGCTGCGAAGATGGTATTCTGACTTTAGTAGAGACTGTAGAGGATGGTTC